CCAACCGTATTCGATTCGTTAATTCCGCTGAACAGGTGGCAACTATTATGACGTCGTCAAGGTATGCAGCAACACCGGCTAGCATAGTGTCCATGATCTGTTGAAAAATAGCGGGGGCAGTCTTAATGCCGAATGGCAGACGATTGTACTGGAAAAGACCTCGATGGGTATTGATAGTTAGTAGTTCACGACATTCTGGAGAGACTTCGACCTGTAAGTATGCGTCCGCCAGATCGATTTTCGCGAAGTATTTACCTCCATTTAGAGTAGTAAATAAATCATCTGGAACAGGTAAGGGATAATGGTGTTGCTCCAAAGCAGCATTTAACCCTGTCGAAAAGTCAGCACATAGTCGGATTAAGCCATTAGCTTTCTTTATGACGACGATTGGAGCTGCCCAAGAAGAATGGGATACTGGAGTAATGACATCCTGTTCCTGAAGTCGTTTCAGTTCTGCCTCGACGAGGGGAAGCGATGCATATGGGACGGGTCTTCTAGGACGAAAAACAGGTGATGCATTTGGTTTCAGGCGTAGAACGGCTTTGGTTGTGGTGCAGTGACCGAGGCCAGGTTGGAATACCTCTGAATATCCAGTAATAATATCATTAAGGCTCGCCGTGAGGTTTGACGGTGCTTCCAGTTTGTTGCACACCATATTCAGTGGAAGGTCGGCGAGTTTCAGACTTTCAAACCAGTCGAGACCCAGAAGGTTTAAGTCTGCGTCAGACAGATAACAAATTCCATTTATCGAAATATCGTGAAAAGATACAGTACAGGATAACTGACCTGTTAGTGGTAATCGGCCACCGCAGTTTGTACAGTCTTCTGGAAAGGAGGTCGACCAATCTTCCACCATAGCTTTTGGAAATAATCGTTATATCGGAAGCTGTGTCGATTTGTAGGCGTACTGAATGGTTATTTATTTGGACGGTGATATATTTTCTCCGAGCTGATGCATGTGTTTGAAAAGCAGCAGTAAGGCTAAGAGATTTGCCGACTGGTCGAGACTTCGATCTTCGACGGTGACTGGATGATGACCTGCCTGTTCTTTGTGATGGCGGCTGCTTGCAAAATCCGTCCTTGTGACCCACAGTATTACAATCTCTGCATTTATTCTGCTTATAAGGACAATATTTAACGAAATGCCATGCGCCACAATGCCAGCAGGGAGATGATGGGGTCTTCTTCATGTTTCTTCTAGTATTGTATGAGCTGCCGGGATGACGAACAGGAGACGAAGAATCAGGGGTCTTTGGGCCAGAAAAGGATGCAGAGAATTGGATTTCTGGCGAACTGCATGCACTTCATGATCACCCTGGCGTCCGGATTGGACTAAACTTGTATCCCGTTGTAGGTTCACCAATTGTTGATATTGAGCAGCAATATCATTCAACGTTAGTGTTGGTTCTTGCTCCAACCGATTTAGCAGTCTCATCCTAATATCTGCAAACTTGGATGATTGAAGGCTGCATATGAGTATCAGCGATTTGAATTGGTCATCGGTGATGGACTTCAGCTTGAATTTTTCGCATTCGCGATTAACAATACCAACATGAGTGAGAAAATCATCGTTCTCGTTCATGACCAGTTTAAGACAGCGACACCTGGCATTGAAAAGAGACGAATGATCACCAAAATGTTGTCTCAGGGTCTGTATTGTGGCATCGAAGGAGCGGTCTCTTGGTTTCTGTGGCAGTATTATATTGCAATACTGATCTAGTTCGGATGGACCAAGTTTTCGAAGAAGGAGACGAACTTTCCATGAATCATCTTGACCAGCAAAATCAACTTTGAAGTGGTCTTCATATCTTCGGAAGCAAGTATCGAAAGTCACGTTAGCATCAGGATCATAATGAAATTCTGTGATACTGGTTGCAATTCCGTCAACTGTAGGGGCTGATATAGCAAGCGTAGGGCTCGATGATTCAGGTATTGAAGTTCTGGACTGAGTCAATAACTCGATAGTCTTCATCTGTTGTTCGAGAAATTTTTCCATCATTGTATAGTCCATTTTTGATCCCGTCCCCGTCGCCACTGTTATGGGTTCGAGGCGCTAATGGTATATGTATATATTCCGAAACGAATATAATATGCGCGCTTAGCTGACAGCTAACTTGGTACGCAAGAGACACTGACTGCAACCCCGGGACAAATAGAGAGAAGACCGAAGCTGGCAGATGGGAGAGTGTATTACTCCGAGAATATAATATAATAACAACGAATCAATCCAAAACACGTGAATAAGTCTACACATGAAAACTGACCTTGTCCGTAATTGGAGAAATTCGCATAGTAAGAGTAAACGTTAACCAATCAGCGAATTACGTTACAATGGAAGCAGAAAATAGACTATTAGTCATACCGACAAAACGATGTAGGAATGACACGTTAAAATGTTCAGATCAATAACAATGTTCTATACAAAACTGAAGCATCATAACACTTTCTACCGATTTGACTGCTTTCTTTATTTTTCCCCTAAGAGAACTTTCACTTGATGCGCTGATATGAGGTGTGGTAGGCTTGTACCACTATGCGGTAATCCCATGTCCCACATGGATTTAGTCTCTCTGTCTATAAGAAATATACATATTTAGAACAATTCTCATACTACCACAGTTTCTTCCCGCTTCAGTGCAATCGAGTTCTAACGATGTGTCTTTTTAACCCGATTCCACAGGTATACATGAATAATGCTTAAGAAGAAGGAACGTAAAACCTTATCAAACAGAATTAGGCTAGAATTATCTGCTGAGATTTATTAGTTTCTATAGAAATTGTTAGATCAGTTCTAAAGGAAGATGTGTGTATCATCATCTTATCAAGATGTTTCATAAAGTCTAATCACCAAACAAATATTTTACGCAGTCATCCAAGGAACATATTTTGCAACAAGGATGGACATCGTAGAAAAAACGAAACTTATGTACTCTTGTTAACCTCTGGAGCATTTAAACGATAGAGTCACATATATCTAAAGATTGTCCATCAATTTATGCAAATAGGGAGCTATGGAACATATTCCAAAATGGATACAACAAATTAAATGACCTTGTTGATGCAAATGATAGATCTACACCGTCTATTGTTTTTACTCTTGTTTCTAATGCCCTCCTAACATAGCATAACAGGAATATCACTCATAAAATAAGTTTCAGTTAGTGTTATCTTATTTCAAAATATATATATATATATAGTTTTTAGAATACCTGTTATTATTATTATACTGGATAGTTCAGTGACCTTAACAAGCATAAATTTCTCTTTCTCAAAGTTCACGATAATCTAAAAAGCAGCTGATTGATATAACTATGTTATCAATATGCACATAAGTGAATGTCCCTCTACTTATGTATGAAGATGAATCTGTTAGCATTGGTTAATGATGGAGTAATTTAGTAAGGGTTATTTTATCTCAGTATCTTTATGACACCAGTTTGTCCATAAGCTAACTTTACTTTCAGTTAGGTTAGAAATCCTAGTTTGCTTGTAAGTTTTTCTAACCGTATTAACATGATACAAATCACTGTCACATTAACAAAAGACTGAAGGTAAATGTTCTGGAGTGAAACAGATTGCTGAATATTAAGATTAAGGAATAAATGACTAGGGTATAAAACGCTGCAAACTATTAGGTATCATAGGATGTAATTCGTAGCTTCTGCATTGTTTTGTGGATTAGATTGTATTCCAAGATCTCGTGATGGTTTCAAACAACTATGGACTTTGATTTAGAAGCTCAATGTATTACAGCCTTTAAAAAACTGCAATAAAGGGTATAAGATTCGTAAGCGTCTCCAATGCATTCAATGCAGAGTTTGACTTTTCATAGTAATGTGGATTTTTTTTATTCTAATACCCGTTTCATCATTTCACTTATATTACTCTCCTTAGCATTTCAGTATCACTGGTCTCTTTGAATCGTCCGAATCTTAGCCTTTGGTGTTGGATATCATCTTTGCTTTTAAGAATCACATCTTTAAGGCCTGTTGTATTCAATGTTTTTCCTTTGACGCAAATCGATTCAGACATTGCGTTTGTAGGTTTGATTGTTGGTGTTATTTGACCTGTTTTTCTTTCTTATTCCTTTGTTACGTGATGTCCTGATATGAAATGTGGCGACTTAGACTGTTACGTAGTAATACCTGATTCTATGTTAATGTTTATTTATCATTATGATGTGTCTCACACCACACTAACTCACGTTCAGTATCAGTTTATCTTCCTTTGAATAAATTCCCCATTTGACGTGTTTCATGAGAGGTTATATGAGAAACTTGGCATCAGTGTAACAGTTTGTTAGTTTTTTCTGACATCAAACTTTCTAAACTGTAGATGATGATATACGTGGGAAAGTAATTCTACTCACCCTAGTGCATCAGGAAATACGACCAACATTCTATCTTCTTCAACATAGGTTTCCACAATATTGTAGAGATCAACAACAGGTCTTTATAACTTGGTTATTTATTACTGATAAAGTTACTTGGTGATGCAAAGTATTTCAAGTATTTGTTCATGCATAACTGTGTAGTACTTAATTTCGTTACTGCAGGTGTATATTTACCACTCAGCAAAATTAACCGCTTTTCATTTCATCATCTATTTCTCATCATTTGGTTGCCAAAATCGAAGCTACATTTGAAGTATAGGTGTATGGTACCTTAACTTCTGTTCAGTATTTTGGTTCACGTTGTTTATGCACAATTGTAAAGGAGCAGGTGTTATCATTCAATGAACCTGATCTCATTTTCATCTTGATTCTAAAACTTGATAATGACACAGGCTTCATTGTGCCTGGATATGAATTCCACTTAGAAAAACAGATCTACCCGGTACTTTTTCGTTATGTACCATTTTCAGTTATAGTAAGCATGAATTGTAGGAGAATCCCTTTCCTAATGAGATAAAGAAAATGAGTATGTGTATACTGTTTATTTCTTATGTCACTTCCCATATACTAATTCCTTGTTTTTTTTCTTGTGAATTCACTGTTTCAGACTGGGTATGAAGGACCGATTATGTGCGCGTACAAACTAGTCATGTGTGAATTCAAAATGTGGGCAATGCAAGGACGTATAGAGAAAATGATTCAACGGGTATGTGCTTTGCTTAGATTGTTCATCTCGCCTAAACACCTTTCGAATAGATATTTAGATTTCAACTCATCATATCAAATTAGTGCGAAAGTTTCCATTGCCTCCAGTCTCTTAAGAGAGCACACACTCTAGCAAGGAATGAAAATGAGAGTTAAGGAATTAAAAATATGTGAATAAGGTACTTAAAATGAATAATTATCCGTCAAAATTCATTCACAAAATAGAAAATTAGGTCATAAAACTACTAAATCATAGGCCCTGAACAATAGTTATCTGTTACAGATCACACATTAAGTCAAAGTGTTTTCTACAGGACATTAAACACATTGCAGAGCACCTTAGTTCATTTGAGGGATGAGATCCCTCTAGATTCACAATCTGATTATGTTTATAAAAGGAAGTGCTCAAACTGTTATGCATAGGACAAACTTTCTGTGAAATCAAAATTTAAAAAAAAAAGAACACCGAAAAGCTTTCTGACCCCCTAGAAATCCAGTGGAACTGAAAAAACTTGAAAACACATCAGCCATAGCTCTACATGTTATAATTTCAGGTCAAAAAGTCGATTTTGATAATATCAAAATTATTCAGAATGGCTTTAGAAATTATAAAGAATATCTCATAAGTGGAATCATAATTGTCTAAATAGAAAGGAATGAGGGAGTAAAACGCAGTTTAACCTGATCTCAACCCACTTCCACATACTGACATAACCATCATACATGCGATAATAACTGTGAGCATATGTGTACTTACAAATCTCAATCTGTAATTCACACACCACATATGGATGGATATCATGTTTATTCTACAATTCTGACAACGTAGAATCATTCACGCAGAAGAACACTTGTCAAGTTATCATATAATAGAAGCTTGGATGTTGTAAATTTCGGCTTAATATAATTTTGATAAACCTATTAGCACTAAATAGCGAAACGTCAGTTGAAACAAATTTATTTTGTTTTCCATTCATTGAGAAATACAAATACTAAAGTGATGAATATTACTTGTCCAACGCTCACATTTTTTCGAACCATCAAATCCCAACTTAGTTTGGATATCTATAAACCTTTATATACTAGAGCCACCTTTAGCGCCACCATGATATCTGATTGTCTACTAAGGGTCGCGTGTACCGCACCTGTACAGCAGTCCGCTCTGTTCTACTGTACGACTGTGAAACATGACCATTGAAGGTGGAAGATATGAGAAGGCTAGCTTCAGGTGTTTGACCACCGTTGCCTTCGTAGTATACACCGTATTCCGTGGTGTCACCATATAACATAGAAGTCAGGTGTAGAGTTTTAGGGAGGAGAGGCAAATCAGTTGACGAGGTTGTGAACCTTCATCGACTGAGGTGGTTGGAACACGTGTTATGTATGCCTAGTCACCGATTGCGTCGTCACACAATGTTGGTCGGAGTAGGTTCAGGCTGGAAAAGGGTTCGAGGTGGTCAGACTAAAACATGGCACCAATGTATGAAGTCTTTGACTGTTGGTTTGAGCCATGTGAAGCGATACAGACCAGGTGGTTGGGGTTCGGGGGACAAGATGTATGTATATACATTATCCTCATCTTAACATTATACCGAATCTCACCATTCTCTCATCCCTCATTTCTATCTTTTCATACTTTATATTTATTTTGACTGAATTTTCTTTTCCTTCATCTCCCACTTCACTGCCCTTTTACTTGATGGACTGATCTGAGTTGTGACAACTCGGACCGTTACACAGTAATACCTGGTCCTAGGTTTATCTGAATGGATGATTACATACTAGTACTTACTGCACACTAATTTAAAAACACGCGTTTTTTTAGTGGATAGATTATAGTGAATGTAAAGACCATGCTAGCAGCAACTGAAACAAGCAACTAGGTTTTGTTTATTTCTTCTAAAAAAGGGATTTTTATTTTATAAAACAAAGGAATTTAATGGATTATTTCATTACCTTTAAAATCACTGGATAGATTGTATACGTTCTTGTAAAACCGTAAGAATTTTTCATTGTTACGTTCTAGTTTCACCTTCGTTGAATCAAACCATCCCAGTATTATTTTCATGGTTGGAGAAAAATATTTCCATGTGACTATTTATAACGACTGCTGAAAGTGGCAAAGATTTATGATACTTTGCATCTGTATATAATTCTCAGTTGTTTATATAAATAAATTTCGTAAAAACATTATTCATGACCATGAATGTCATCCAACTAATAATGTAGTGGGCGTTGCTGATAACAACGGATATAAGTAGTATATATAGAGAGGGTGGCAGGAATCATGGGGAATTACCGGCAATGGGTAAGGTTTCTATCAAGAGCAACGCAAGGGATAACACAAGTGTATTACAGTGGATGCTGCTGATAAGAGTGTATGAAGTGCAGGTCAAGAGCAAATCAAGAGAGGAACGGAGGAGGAAACGAAGACATTTGCAAATGGCTGGATTAGTGCAAGGTGTACCATATGTAACCACTACCATTCCAATTGTTCGTAATAAACATTCGTCGAGTTGTTTTCTATCTCTTCAATAATACTATCCTCACCAACAAACTAACATGAAGTTACAGTTGACCAAAGTACTCCAATGTTAATGGAACATTTTTGCAGTATGAAGCCCATTTTAAACCTGTCTCAATACTCTCATGTGATAACATATTTTGTCTTACCATCTAGAAGGTGAACAAGTGGCATACTTAGCTGCTAGTTCAAAGACAGAAGTCATAATTGAAATTCTTGTTAGATACTAACTGGTTTTTTGTATTGGCATCAAAATACATTCATCCTTTCTCATTGCATTCAATGTGAAACTGATATATAAAAAGGTAATGTAGCCTAGCCCAATGCATGTATTTATGTACTAGATAGGCTGTGAGCCATAACTTTTTGTATCAGGATAAAATTTGTAACTGAGACCCATTGCTTAAAAGTTAACTGTTTTATCCAATGAGCCATATTTCCGCGAATTAGGTGTGGGGTCATTAAGTTTTCAGTGTTTAGTGAGCGTAGTACTTATGCTCCTCATATTTTAATAAACTCAGAAGAGCATTTTCATATCGGTAGCTATTAGGCAACACTCCATATCGTGAATTTTCACATTCCAACCTTATCGTCTGTTTTATTGGTGTTAACGAAGTGAATTGACCAACAGATATAAACAGACAGGCCGATAAAGTCAGCGTAGAACCTCACATAATTCCATTGTTCCAAGTTGTCACACTTCACTGTGGTAAACAAGGAACAGGTGGACAGAAAAGGAGTGATATCAAAGTATATAAAATAGTGTGAACAAATAAACAATCCAAAGATAAAAGTTACTGCGAATGTCCAAGCTTTGGAAGACGTCAAGGAGTGAATACATCTGTGCCACTATGACAAATTTCTAGCCATGTTCCTAAAAGTCTCCCACCACTGATTCCTTTCATCTCGAGGACCCCAGCCACGCAGTCTACATCTTCTAACGCGGCTCAGACAAACAGTCAGGGACTTCATTGACTGGTGCCAGATCTTGGTTTGACCACCATGAACCCTCTTCTAACCTACCCTTTGCCTGACCTCTGCATTGGACACATAGTGATCCCACCAAACGCGAACAGTGCTACGAAAACATGTGATCGAAACGCTGTAATCGCTTCATATCTACTTTTAACGACCAAGTCTCACAGCCGTATAACAGGACAGAACGGACTTCAACCCAGTACTCTCATCCTTTGACAGATAGTCAGACATCTCAGTCGGCACCATAGATGACGCAAGTTGGCAAATACCAGACAGGCCTGTTTGGGTTGATAGAACTCAAGTAAGTGAAGCAGTCAGAAGTTATGTATGCATTAGCAATCAGCTTCCCAAACGCCGCATTTTCTCAGTCTCTTCACCTAACAGGACAATGTCCTCTGCATACTCCAAGTCAACCAGAATCCTTCCAGGGAGTAGGCCTATCTCCATGAAGTCGACCAAATATTCACACTGCTCTAAGTTCTAGAACACAGGCACCTTTACCGACGCCCGACAATAGCTGTATTTCTCGATTTGAAAGGGGCGTTCGACCCTGTTGATCTAGAAGTTTTATGGCAATATCTCTCACTGAAAGGCGTGCCGAGTAAGTACATCGCCTTATTGAAGGCTATCTACTCGAACACTTGTGGGCGTGTTAGAGCCTATGGTGAGATGTCCAGGGAGCTATGCTCATCGAGTAGTGTCGGTCAAGGGTGTCCACTCTCCCCATTCTTATTCAATTTTATCACAAATATTCTTATGGAGGTCTCCATCTCGTCACCTGATTACACAGAGGTTGACCTAATCGCAGGAGAATTTTCGTTAGACCTAGAATACGCAGATGACAGTCCGGTTAGGTGAAGACGCTGACAAGATTCAGATTCTTCTAAACACTGAGTGGGAATTTGGGAATGTTTGGCATGGGTTTCTCACCACCCTAATGCAAATTGTTGCTCCACGATTGGTTTTCAACGGTGCACCACTGAGGCTAACAATAGACAGTGTAGTGGTTGAGTGTGTCGACCACTTCGCTTACCTGCGAAGTAGTAGGATCAGCCCTAGTGGCTCACTGGCCGATGAAATGTCTGTACGAACGCAAAAGGCTTGGCTGGCTTTCGCCAACTGACGCCACCTGTCGCACCGCCGTCATATCCGATTATCTATTAACTGTCGCGTGTGCCTCACCTGCACAGCAGTCCACTCGGTTCTACTCTATGGATGTGAAACATGGCCTTTGAAGGTGGAAGACATGAGAAGGCTGGCTTCAGGTGTTTGACCACCGTTGCCTTCGTAGTATAGGCTGTATTCCGTGGTGTCACCATATAACACAGAAGTCAGGTGTAGAGTTTTAGGGAGGAGAGGCAAATCAGTTGACGAGGTTGTGAACCTTCATCGACTGAGGTGGTTGGAACACGTGTTATGTATGCCTAGTCACCGATTGCGTCGTCACACAATGTTGGTCGGAGTAGGTTCAGGCTGGAAAAGGGTTCGAGGTGGTCAGA